AAAGAAAGGAAGGAAGGAAGGAAGGAAGGAAGGAAGGAAGGAAGGAAGGAAGGAAGGAAGGAAGGAAGGAAGGAAAAAACCATTTGTCCAAAAGAGTAACCAGAGTTGGGTTTTCAAGCCCAGTCATTAGTGAGTGCTTCCAAACCTTCTGCCTGCAGCTGCCTGCCTGACCTCTGGGTAGGATCAATCCTGCGTTCTTCCCAATGGGCAGTGAGGTCCTTCTCCACTGAGCTGTTTTCAGGCTGGCTTCCTCATGCCAGTCAGCAGGGCTGGTTGCTGGTCATCCTCCCAACTCCCCAAAGCCACTATCATTCATTCAGCCTGTGCCCAAAGCCATTAAAGTCATACATTGTGGCCAAAGAATGTATTTCAGAATTCATGTAAAGGAATCCAGTTTGGCTCAGTGGTGTTCTGTCAGGCATATTACAGTTTCTCTTATAAGGCAGGGGAGGTAAACTTCAGAACACAGCATATCTGGCTATTAATGACAGTGTTTGGGTCATTTTCCTATGAAAATGGGAGTTGTGCTCTTTGTTGATTATGGTCATAACACTCTTCCTTCCAAACTCTGCAGAAGGTAAGTGTCAACTTGTTCCTTCCAGAAGGGAACTGCTCTGACTTACCAGAAAATTCACCCATATCTGACTTTCAACACCTGCTGTGGACAGAGACTCTTGTACTTTGTATTTTCAGTTTATGCAATGGAGGTAGGCTACCTTTTCCAATGAGCAAACAGAGGCTCAGAGATGTCTACAGATAAAAGTACTAGGTCCAGGCTGAAGCCCTGCCCTGTCTGGTAAATTACAGTGCCAATTGCTCTGGTAGAACTCAGGTATATCTGGTCCTGGGGTCTGCAACTTTCCATAGCCTGGTGCAGCCCCCAGACAGCAATCAGAAACACCTTGGTCACTGGTTCATGTAGCCTTCCAAGTTCAGACCTCCCTACCCCAGTCACCCTGGCCAAGGAACCTAGCCTTAACTACAGAGATCCACAAAGGGTTATACATGTTTGTGCAGGAGGGGGCATTTCAGTGGCAGCCATGCCATCGTTCATTCATTCAGTAAATATTTAGGTTCACAGTCTTCTAGGTACAGCTCAAGGGACTCACATTACTAACTGTAAACTAACAGAAAAAGTTCCTGATCTCAGGACTTGACCTTCTAGCAGGGGAGTAGGGCAGGTATGCTGTAATCTTGGGCAATACCATGTGCTGTGAGGAAAGCACAGCTAGATGATGGGGAAGGGACTGCTCCTTCAGAGAAGGTTTGCTGAGAAAGGGACATTTGGCAGAGACATACAAGAAGTGAGAGAAGGAGTTCCAGAAGTTAAGAAAGAAGAGGTAACAATTAGACTGTGCTTGGGGGCATTCTAGGAAGAAGAAGCAGGTCAGGCTGGCAGGCCATACACCAGATACAGAGTACCAGGAAACAAGGCTGTGGAGGATTAGAGACCAGGGCTACAAGTTCGTGTGAGCTGTGACAGGAAGGTAGGTTTTATTTTGAGTGTATAGGGACAACACTGGGCACTTGTGAAGGATCACTCACTCTTCAACATGGTAAGCAAACCCAGGATGGGTAAGGAAGAGGGCAGGAAGACCAGAGGCAGGAGGCAATGGCACTTGGACTCAGTAGAGTAAACAGGAAGTAATGGGATTCATCATCTGATTTGATGCAGAGCTGATGGGAGTTCTAATGAACTGGATCTGAAAAGAAAGAAAAGGGAGTTGGAGAGGAGCCTAATACTTTTTGCTTTGTTAAGTCTAAGTTTTCATAAAGAGCACAGATCAATGGCGATACCACCTACTGAAGTAAATGTGGAGCTGAGGGACCATCAAGAGTTCCATGCATATGAAGATATAGATGTTCAAGTAGACACCTTTAGTTGTCACCACAGGCGGGTGTTGAGATGAAGCTGAACCTAAAGAGAGAAGTCGGGGCTGGAGATAGGACATGTCCCTATACAAAGCCACCCACATGCAAAGCCCATTGACTGTCCTGGGATTGAATGAGGACCTGGTGGTTGTATGTGGAGATAACATCAGAGAAGGAGACAAGAGTCCAACAACACTGAGAGGTAGGAGAGTACAGGGGTCTGCAAAGGAGACTGGGAAGGAATGGCCTCAGGGAGACAGAAAGACACCCAGAAGACGGAGATTTCCCAGAAGTCAAATTCTAGGAAGTAAAGAATGATGGAGATCAATAAGTCAGATGCTGATGATATGGCCTACCCTGACTATTGACCATTGGAACTGACAGTGCAGAAATCACTGGTAATCTTGACAAGAAGGACTTAGGCGAGTGACAGCATCATTTAAGACATATATAGACTGTGTCACCTGCTCCAGATCACCCCAGCTTGCTGGATGGTATTCTAAATCCAAGCACTGGCTCCTAACCACTGTGGTCTGCTGCAACCCAGGCCATGGGGCACTTCTGACTGTTGCTGAGCTGAGTGTGACCTGCCTTTTGTTGGCCTGAGTCTTGGCATGTTCCTTAGTCCTCTCCTGCTTTTATATGTATTCTTTAAATCTTCACCTGCAGCTAATTGGTATTAGGTTGAACTAAATAGAACTGCTGTTTTTGTAGCTCTAAAACACTTAAATAGGCTGAGGCAGGAGGATCGTGGTGAGTTTAAAATCAGCCTGGGCTACATAGCAAGTTCTAGTCAACCTGGGATACATGGTAACAGCCTGTCTCCACAAAGAACTCCCCAGAGGCCCTTCACTGCCCATTCCTGTGGCATTCTCAACTCTGTAGCAAGGGGGGGGGGGGGGGCGGTGCAGACTTGTGGGTTCAGCCTGAGGGGCAGGAGAAGAAAGGAAGGAAGAGGGATGAAAAAGGAAGGAAGAAACGAAGGAAGGAAGGAAAGAAGGAAGGAAGGAAGGAAGGAAGGAAGGAAGGAAGGGAGGAAGGAAGGAACTTTAAATATCGATGAGTGCTATAGTCCCACCTATTATTTTAATTTTTATTATATTTAATTTGAGGGTCAATGTGCATGCCATTAAGTGCCTGTGGAGGTCAGAGGACAATTTATGGAAGTCGATTCTCTCCCTCCACTTGGCAGCGGGTGCCTTTACGTTCTGAAGCATCCCATAGACCCCCTCACCTATTCGCAATTAATTTCTCCTTCAGTCTTCTCTTTAGGTGTTGTTTTCCTAACTAGGAAGATGAGGTTCAGAAAAGCTTAGGAACTCACCCAAGGGCTCACAGGCTACTAAACAACACAGCCAGAAAAAGAGCTCAAGTTTTCTCAACCAGAATGTTCTTACTATGCTAATGTGCTGCTTGCTCTTGGGCAAACCGAGGCCAGCACATAAATGTGCCATCCCTGGAGAGGCTGGAGCCCAGCACCCCTGCCCCACCCCTTCTGAGGCCCATACTCCTTCCCAGAATCATCCTGAGGCCTCATTCCCCCTTGCTTAGGATCAGAGTCCAGCGATCCAACCTCTTGGGGGAAACAAAAGAAAAAAAAATATATATATATCCATCCCAGAGGGCATGAGTCCAGAGCTAGACCAGCAGTGGAGGGGGTGAACACATTGTCCATATAAGGACAAGTCTCCTACTCTCTGTAGGGGCCCCCCGCTTCCCCACACCTCCATCTTCTACTGCCACACTTCTTTAGGGGCACAACTAGGCCAGCAAAGGACTCCAGCCCTGGGGCCCAGATCTAGAAATAAAGTTCAGTTTCATCACAAAATGATTAAAATAGACAGAAAATACAAGCTGCTCTTAAATTTCTTTACTATTATTTTTATCCCCTGGGCAGCATGTGAGCACAAAGCTGGTTTTGATTAAGCCTGTGGTCCTTCTTGCCCATTCCTCCCTGCAGTTCTCATGGAGGCCTTGCAGCTCGGTATCCCTGGATGGGCCCCATGGCACATGCACAGACCCCCAATAATGGCAGTTTGGGGGGGGTCTCCCCCATGTGGGCCTCTAGGTTGGGCATGGGCATGGTTTCGAAGAGAAACTTAAGCCCTTTTCCTCAGGGCCAGATGGGAGAAGATAAGGTACAGTGGAACTTTTTTCAAAAGTAGCTCAATGCACACCCCAGGCAGTATGCACACACCTCCAGTGAACCCGCAGTGTCCCAGATGGGCCACTACAGAGGTAGGTAGGGCTGGTGGCTGGGCTTAAAGCCCAGTAGAGAATGTAATTAAAAGAGTGAGTTCATATAGGTAAAACCATGCTTCTGGGTTCTCCAAAGCACTATTGGTGTGTCTTATCTTTTCTGAGCCTTGGGACTCAGTGAGGTAGAGAAAATAAAAGTTCCTTTTCACTTTTCAAGGGAGGGGTTGATTTTTTGTTGTTGTTGTTATTTTGACAGGGTCTCCCTAGTCTCAGCCCACCTGGAAGTCACTATGTGGACCAGGCTGGCCTCAATCTCACAGAGATCTACCTGCTTCTACCTCCCGAGGACTGGGGTTAAAGGGATGCACCACCATATCCAGTGTTAGAAGTTCCTTTTCTACAGCTGAGGAAGCAGAGACAAAGTGAAGGTTAAATGATTTTCCCAAGTTCTCAAGAGTGCCAACAACAAAGACAAAAAGTAGAGCTGTCTGTTCTTGATCCCAACTTGCTCCAAAGTAATGCCCAGCATGACCCATGAGGAGAGAAGGAATCCAAGGCCCCCACTGCCCTTCTTTCAGAAACCCAGGAAAACTGGTCCTCTAATCCTTTGCTTGCCTGTGCCTCAGTTTACCTATCAGTAGAAAAAGAATTGTGATCCTTCTTTCCCAGCTTCCTTTGTGCTTTGGAACTCACCAAGAGAATAAGAATGCTCAGTTAGGAATTCAGAGCTATGTGCACACTCTGTCCTCTGTAAACAAAGACAGAAGTTTCTGGAAGCACTTTTTCTTAAAGCCCCAGGGGTGTTTTTATTCCTTTACTGTGTCCATATATACCTGGTGCCCTGTGGTATAGTAGCATTCTGAGAACTTGGCAGCACCTGCTCTGGATGGTAAGGACCCTCGACTTATCAACTAGGGCTCTTTTGCTCTTATGGAAGGTGGGCAAGGGATGGGCTGAGTTATCAATTCTTTGTTCCCTTACTCCTATCCCTTGTCATATACTGCTACAAAGTCCTACTTATAGCCCAAGTTGAATCACTCCTTCAGTTGCATGTTATTATATGGCTTTTGGCTTCAACGGGAATCTCCAACATCCCTGAGACTGCTCAGCTGTCACCAAGTTGAGCTTGTACTATGCCCACATAGAGCCTCTGTCACAGGATTACCCAGCTCATAGAGGGAACAGGCTTGTGAGGGAGGAAGCCTGACTTCGGTTAGGCTTCAAAAACATGACCAAGTAGAGGGGGCCATGTGGGCAGATTCACCTTTATAGAGCAGGCAAGGGACCCAGATGTCTTCTAGGACAAACCAGGTAGGAGTTCAAGAGCCCAGGAGTGAGCAAGTATAGGTCCCCAACCCCTGAGGTCTATGTTCCTGGTACCATCCCTCACAGGGACCCAGTCTAGACAAGACCCAGGGTTGCCCATCCTAGAGGCAGGGATGGACTATTAGCCCTTCTTCCCTAGCCAAGCCACAGGAGCCCCAGCTGGAAAATCCCCTCCTCCCTCTGAGCTTCATCTTTAGGGTCAGGAAATGAAGGATGAGTCCAGGAAAAGACCTAGGGGGAGGCACCCTTCCAGCCTATCCCCAAGGATCAGTAAAAACACAAGCCTAGAAATAGCCATTCAGCCAACAACTTCTTATCTAAGTCCTGCGTGGTTTCCCGCAAAGTCTGAAAGTCCAGTGTCTCATGGGAACCCAGGGAGAATGTTTTCTGCCCAGCCCTACCCAGCCCATGGTGCCATTCCTCACCACCCACAAGAGAGGTTTCCCCCATCATTGCCTGAGTTTTACCTTGACATGGAAGAGGGTGCTTGGAGCAGAGGCCTGAGGAGCTGCATCACCAGCTCAGCATCTCTAGTACCACTCAGCCAGTGGCTACCCAATATCTGTGCTGCCTGGCCAGTGACTGCCCAGCATCTCCGGTGCTACCCAGCCAGTGGCCTCTGCAGGGTTTCACCAGGCCTCCCTTGAGGAGGTGCAACAAAGTCCTCTAAATGAGTTCCTCTGTTTCAATGGTTAGGTATACAAAACCAAGTCTCAGAAATCAAAGCCTACAAATACCTTCCAGACCATGAGCCCAAGAGAGGGGCCCAGTCCTCTCTTCCTCTGTGTGAGGTCTTTCCCTGCACAGAGAAACTTTGGAAGTGTAGAACATTCAGTTGAGTGAGTCAAGCCCCAAGGAAGGAAAAGATGGGGACAAGGAGAACAGAGGGAAAAGAGAGCCTAGGTCTTGTCAGTAGCCTTCACCTTGGCAGCATCTGCTGCAGCAGCAGGGAGCAGTAACTAGCTCCTTAGCCTGGCCATCCATCTTGCCAGGTGACTGCCCCAGCCACCTGATTTATCAGGCCTGTGCAGCGGGCTCTCCTTCTTTGGTGTTCCCTTGGAAAAAGAGCCTGCTTCAGGCGCCGCTCAGCAGGCACAGAGGGCCCCCAAGCGGAATGTGGGATGGGTGGGCCAACTGGGGTCGGGGTAGGGTTCTGACGAAGGTGCCTCCTCTACTCGGCTCCTTGGACAGCCACTGACTGATATCTGTGTTGCTTGTTTTGTTCCAGATGCTCCAGCCAGTGAGAACACCAAGGTCCCAGAGATGAAATCCCGGAGGCCCAAGAGCTCCCTTCCCCCTGCACTAGGAACAGAGAGTAAGTACCAACTCAGCTTCACCATACAAAGACAGGGCTCCGGGTCTGCCCTGAGCTCCTCAAGGCCCAACCTCTGCCCATGTCCCAGAGTACCCTATGACCTCCTGATCCCTAAGTCAATGACCTTTCCTCAACCCTTGCCACCACTACTCCCTGCCAGTCTCTCTCCACCCTGTGTACAGCAGTGGAGTCTTTCACATCTTTGCCTTCCTAACCACAGCTCTTTCTATCTCACTTACACCCTTTTTAGTTGTCACCTGTACCCCTGGGGGAGCTGCTCCTAATTTTTAAGTTGACTCTGTCCTGATTAGGAAACCTTCCTAAATTGTTGCTCTGATCTTATGACTTGGGCTGAAATATCCAGTGGTCCTCAGTGCTTACGGACTCCCTCATGATGAAACTCTCCCCCATTCCTTCCCTGGACAAACCAACTGCACATGCGTATATACAGTGCCATGTGAAGCCTGGCTGGCACCCCTTCCCATATCTGCCTTCCTTTCCTTTTTTGTGTCTTTGTTCTCACACTTCTCTCCACAGGATACCTTTCTGGCACTAAAGTCATTTCAGCCCCATGCTCTTCCCCTTCAGCTCAAAGTAACTTTTCCCTAGAAGCTTCCAGAGCATTCAACTCCCTCCTGTACTGACTCCTTCCTGGCATCATAGGACTATGTCTGTGTGCCCTTGTATATTCCCTGAGGACCTAGCCTGAGCCCTCAGAATGACATGCTGTGTCCATGAAGGGACCTCACTAGTGTCTCTCAGAGCACTGTGGTAGAAATAGCTGGGGAAAAGGGCTCTGGTGGGACTAAACTGTAGAAAGCTGTCTTTCTCTTCTTGGATCTTGGCTTCCCTCATGGCCAACCTCCCTACTAGGCTTAGGATATGTGCTGCCTTCAGGCCTACAAAATCACAAGGAAAAAATGAACTGTTCCAAGACAGTGCTTTAAATATATAATATTAATATATTCATCTTTATGCCAGAATAGTTGTAAAATATAACTTACATAATCAAAATGTAACACATATCATATAAAGTTATATGTTATATCTAATGATATACAGACACATACTTGTTTTTAAAAGGGGGAAGGGGCCCATGAAGGTGGCAGTGCCTAAAGTCCTCAGAAGTCATAGCTCCTGCTATAATAGTGTGATTTTTGTTAACAGACCTATCTTCTGACAGCTCCAGTTTAAAAGGGCACAGAGTTGCTTAGATATTCCCAATACACACTAAGTTTAAAACACACAGAAATCTGGGCATGTTGGTACCTCCCTGTAATCTAGTACTTGGGAGGTTAAGGCAAGGCTGGCCTGGGCTGCATAGTGAGTTTCAGGCCAACCTAGGCTACAGAGTGAGATTCTTTCCCCTAAAAGTAAATAAATCAATAAAAACAGAAGATAAGCTCTTACTTACTTGTGCTAGTAGAGGAGAGCAATTGAACCTTGTTATCTCCAAAATCCTTCTCTTCCCTTCATAAGGCAGTGCTTTGTGAATACTTTATTCTTTTCTTTGTGAAGTGATGTATTTGCCTTGCTGGTGGTGAACTCCTTGAACACAGCTAATCAGAGGGGTTGGGGGTCCTCAGCCTTCAGTATGGTGGGGTAGCCAAGGTGAAGCTCTAAGTTCTCATATATACTTAAACAAGAACAGTGGAGGACCATGAATGTTAAGGGTGGGATTTAATAAGCTCTTAGAAGCACAGAAACAGTTCTAGGAAGCTAGTTAGAATGAGTTCATGATGTAATTCTCCAAAACTGTTGCCTGGACCTTGCTGCGCTAGCTATAGGAAAACATGAACAGACAAAATGTAACTCAGAAGAACAGAGATTTGATATGGGGGTGAGGTGGTAGATCACCTGACAAGGACAGAGGTTTAGCTACCTCCCGTCCTCCAGTCTGAACTCCCTTCTGTGCAATCCTGAGGAAGGTGAGGTGGGGTCAGAACAGAGCTGTGGAGGAGAAAAACAAGCTCAGTGAGGCAGTGAGACAATGAGCAGATCGGGCTCTGGGCACTTTGCCCTGCAGAGCAGAAGACCATGGAAAACCCCAATCAAGTTGTCATCAACTCTGGACCTCTGGACGGCAGCTATAGCTTCAAATCAGATTCACCTGGGGAAGTCGGAAACCGTGCCTAGGCTGTCCCCAGACCAATTAAACAAAAACCCCCATACACACCAGGTCATTCCAGTGTGTGCTCATGCTGGAAAGTGACTTTCCGAGGTAAGCTGGCCTGCCGCCCATTGTTGGTTTGTGGTTGGTTCAGAACAGAAGGGGGCTGCCTGATGCCTCTGTAAAGTGTACAGAGCCATTCAGGAGCCCTCACACCAGCACCCACAGAGCAGGACAGCCAGTGGAGACAGCCTTAAGGGAGGAGACAGGGCTAGCAGAAAATGTTTCAATTCCATAGAAAATACGTAGTTACCACAGGATTGACTCCACCCACCTGTCTGCAAGAAGAATGTCATTCTTTGTAGAGAGCTTCTGTGGTGGACTGATGGACATCTCGAGAACCCCATGCGTCCTGATGGCCATTTTGTCTCCCTGTGCTGGCCTGTCCACTCAGTTTCCACCACCCTAAGTCTTTTACTACTGCAGGCATTAGTTAAGGGCTCCAGTTGCCTCTCTACCTGCCTACACTTAAGATCTTGTCCTTTAAAAACCTACACTCCAGGTTCCCAAGGGCCACTACTGAAATTGGTCTCTGGAGCCTCCTGAGAAGGTGGCTCCCTAGAGATGGGAGTAAAGGAGACATCTTTTAAGTCTGTGCCCCCCAATCTTTTCTCCTTTGCAGGGATAAGTTACTGTTTATTAATTGCTTCAGTTATATGTGCATGCATTCTTTTTTTGAATATTTTTCCAAATATGTCTTTTTATTTGTTGATTTTCTGTGTATATATCATACAGAACATCCCACACAGTCTTATTTATCTATATACCCACTTCCCAAAAGGCACACTCCCATAGCCTCCCCCCTCCCACACACTGGAGCCCATATACTCTGTCATCCCTGTTACTGTTCACTGTGTTGAAGGCACCCACAGCCATTCCCCAGTGCTTGTCCGTCTGCTGAATCTAGTCAGCCTATCTAGAGAGCCTTGATTTAGGAAGATCAGCTGTTCCTCATCTAGCAGCAACCAGTTGTCAATATTCCTTTAGATAAGATTGGGGTCTGCTGTTCATTTTCCCAGTTCTATGCTGGGTTACTATCTGGGAGTCTTTTGGACCACCCTGGCCAACAACTCAAAGGAAGGTATCTCCTGTCTGGTATTGTTTCTTGTTATGTAGCCTTCGGCTATACATATGGACTCTTAAAAAATTATATTGACCCCATTAATCTTTGGTTATACTTTCCCTTTGGGTTTTTAAGACCCTACAATTGGCCCAGAAAAACCAATTCATTTTTAGTCTTAAGGCCATTTGAGGATCTGTTCCTCAGGGGTCACATGGGCTTGGGAGGAGGCCCTGGCTCCTTTCTTTTACCAGTTCCATCTATGTGAAAATAAGTCAAATGCTCTACCACAGCTGGCTTCGCTTGGAAGCCTGGAGGAAATGTTTCCTCTGTGTTGACCCTCCTTTTTGTAGACTGGACTGGTTCAGGTCCATCTAGTGGGGTCTCCATGGCCTCTTTGATCAAGAGGACAGGTGACTCACCACAGTTACAGGACATTTTGAGAGATGCTCATAGTCCCCTAGAACTTAGTTGACCTAGAAGGGAAAGGAGCAAAAACTGTCTTTTATATCCCTCTGTCCAAATTAGTATAGGCCTCAAAGTATGGCTGTTAAACATCCAAGAAGGTTAATTCCACCAGTCTGGTACTTTTAATTACTGTATGTCATGTAGATAAATCTTGGGCAAAGACCAACTGTTCTCAGATAAACCTTACGTAGACATATATTTCTTGATCTGCAATGTATAATTTGTCAGTAGGTTGTAGGAGTAATATGGTTCTCACTCGTTTTCAAAACTAGCTAGGCATTGTTTATCTCTCATATTGTCTAACCCCTCCATCATGGTTTGCACTCCTATGGTCCCACCTCTCTTGAGCTCCTTCTTTCTCTTTATCCCCTAGATTCTTTGTATAACCTTCCCTCCCCTCCCCTTAAAATAACCCTATTTTTATCCATATCTCCCTTGTTAACACCTGTTTTCCACTATTCTTCTCTTCCAGATTCTTTCTTTTCCTTTACCTCCCTGGTTTCTTTTCATTATCCTGGTTCCTGTAGTTATGTCTGGATCGATACTCACAAGGATTTGGTGCTAGGATCCACATATGAGGGAGAACATACATTGGTTTTTTGTTTGTTTGTTTGTTTGTTTTTCTGAGTCTGTGTTACTTCACTTAGCATGACAGTTTCTAGTTCCATCAATTTACCTGCAAATTTCATGATTTCATCTTTTTTTTACTGCGGAGTAAAACTCCATCATATATAAGAATATACCAAGTACAGGACTGGAGAGTTGGCTTGGCACTGACTACTCTTGCAGAGGACCTGGTCTCAGTTCTTAGCACCCACATGGTGGCTAACAAATGTCCATAACTCCAGTTCCAGGGGAATCCAGATCCAATGCCCTCTTCTGGCCTTCATGGGCATTGCATGCATGTGATACAAAACAAAATAAAAATAAATAATTTAAAAAATATGTACCAAGTACAATGTAAAAAAAATCTTCTATCCCTAATTTCATTCACCCTGCTAACATACTCAGTTACTTTTTCTGTGCACTATATGTATGTAAACATGCAAATACATCAGTTGGGTGGATTTTCCCCTGTAGAAATGGAATCACAAAGTCTATACATCTTTGCCACATGCCCTTTTCATTGTTATCCCCAACCCTTCTGATTTCATGAGTGGCCTGTCTGTGGATGTATGTGTGTTTTTGTCAGGGCCATGAAATACCTGACCTAAGGAGGAAATCCATCTTTCCGGAGGAAAGGGCAAGTGAGTGACTGCCCTGTCAAACAGAGAATAGCCAGATCCCTGTCTGCACACCCTC